TCTCTCAAAGGGGGGTCGTTAAAGGGGGTTGTTCACCTGGCTGAAGAGGCAAGGTCCTCCGTTCCCCTATAAGGGGGTGGGGGCTGCGATGATAGCAGGAAGGAATCAACTCAATTGCTGAATTGTAGGTTTTTGAAAGCTGCAATCTGAGTCCACCCCCTCGGTTTAAGGTTGGTTTCTCCCTCTTAGCATAGATGGCTTCCTTCACGCCCCCAACAAACCACCTATTTTCTTTGTCCAAAATGTGAACATTGTGGTCCCCTTCTTAGATAAACATATTTTTTTGTATACAGTATTTCTTCAAATCATATTTATTTATTTTTTTTTACAAATGTCATTAATGAAAGCAATATCTCTTTCAGATTTAAGAATTTACTTTTTTTAATCTCTACAGTTTTAACATATTCTCATTATCAGTTCGTATGAAATCGTACGAAAAGTTATGTACAGTATTTCGTACATTTTGGACGTTTTTCATCAAAAAAACAGATCAGTGCGCATGCGCAGGCAGACAGACAAAAAAATCAGATCCGCGGACGGACGTAAAAATGGGAAAAACAGTGCAATAATTACTTCTTCATGTCTCTAACTACGTTGCTTGCTGTTTTATACCTTAGGGTTAGGGTTAGAAGTTATTAAATGGTGCGTAAGATGCGCATGCGCATACGACGAAAGAAACATCCAAAACGTACGAAATTACGGTGCATAACTTTTCATATGATTTCATACGAACTCATAATGAGAATACACTGACAGTTTTTCTTTTTAAAATTTTTTTCCCCCACATTTCTTTTGAAGTGAATTATAAGAACTCCGTTCTTTTCAAATTGTGTTTTTAACTTCCTCTTCACATTGAGCCCAAAAGCAAGTGGGTGTTCTTGGTCTTTTGGCCCTTACTTACACTGTAATTTGAGAGAACAAAAAAATAAAAAATCAGGGCAAAAAAATCAGCGCATATATATATATATATATATAAAACACAAAAATAATATTTTATTTAAATTTTTTTTTTTAAAGAAAAATGGAAAAATAGCAAAGTTGTTTTATCAAAAACATTTTCAAAGTTTCATTTTCTGGCTTGCATTTTTTTTTAAACTTCCATTTATTTTCTCATTCGTGCTAAAGTCAGACCAATGTCTGCATTTTACAGATTATAGTGTCCGTGTTCCGCTGGAAAATATCACACACAGACAGACAGGCTATGATGGAGGGAAAATGTTGGTCTAGTTTCTGTTTGATGAGGTGAGGTTGTTATTGACTCTGAAACCACTTTCAACCCATATGGGTTTATTTTATGGTTTAATTTATACACCTTGGCTTTCTAAGATCTAAAACACCTTAAAGGAGATAAAAAGTTCAAATCCAGGTTTATTCACATATTTATTGTCGTTAATATTTATTGCTGCAACCTTTTCCAGAGGAGTCAGTTCTAATATTTTCGTAACCTCTCTCCACACCACCAGCTGCTTAGGTGTTCATGCTATTCTGCCATGTTGGATTCCAGGTGTTAGTCCGTGCCACACTTCTTATAAAATCATCTGGGCAAATGATCAGCATTCATGATTTCTCCTTAGATGGATAAATTATCTCTTATACTCAAGCACATTTAATACACTTAAGGTTCTGTGCAGCCTTTCTTGCAGAAATGGAAAGAGGACTCTGGAACCGATGTGGGTATGAATGCCTCATTAACCGTCCTGTTAGCACACAGGATCATACTGCCACAATAATGCCTCGTCCACCATTACAGCGGTGTTAAATGGTGTCCCAGATCCTTCCAAAGGAAAATTTTCATTTTCAGGTGGTTTTGGTGATTTTGGGACCAGGTAACAGGTTAAGGCCTCTGGTCTACAGGAGGGAGAACTTCTAACCTCTTTACAGTGGACAGATTTAAGGCAATATGTTTCAATTTAGAAGCTCGTTATTGAGCACCGACAGGGTAATGATGTGATTTTCACATTGAAGGTAAACTTATCGTATACCAACAGAGTAACGAGGGTTCACACAGGGTACCTTAAGGGCACCTATGTGGTACTATAGGGTATAAACCAGCAACCTTTAAGAGTACTTATTGGGTATATTGGTACGACCGAGTTTAGGGCCAGGTTAGAGATTTTTTTTGTAATTTTAAGAATAAAGTCGTAACATTAAGAGAATAAAGTTGTAATATTATGAAAATGAAGTCATCATACAACAACCCGTTTCAGAAATAAAGCTTTAAGCTCTGACCAGCAGATGACGGTCGACCAGCTCCACCAAACAGCAACCTGAGTCCACTTTGACCTACTGCCCAATCTGATGCTGGATCTAAGAGAATTTCTTATTGGTCAAACCAGAGCCAAAGTATAACCTCACATGATGCTGGACATTTATCATTTCAGTGAAGAAAGTGCTTATTGTAAGAGTTTTCATAAAATACAACTTGTTTCTCGTAATTTTATTATTTTATTCTCATAATGTTATGACTTTATTCTTGTAATTTTGCAACTTTATTCTCGTAATTTTATTTCTTTATTCTAATGATGTTACAGCTTTATTTTCGTAATTTTATGACTTTAGTCTCGTAATTTTACGACTCTATTCTGAAAATTTTATGAGTTTATTCTCATAATTTATCACTTTATTCTTATAATGTTACGACTTTATTCACGTAATTTTATGACTATTCTCTTTGCAACTTTATTGTCGTAATTTTCCAACTTTATTCTCATAATGTTACGACTTTATGTTACTCTCCCTAATACGCCGTCGTAATATTGGTCTGTTGCTGATGTGGCTACGTTCATACAGCAAGAAGCAGAGGCAGCAGTAGCAGCTAATTTACATGCAAAGTCAATGGTTGATGTGCGTCAAGGTGCAGCAAAAGGTCCCGCAGTGCGTTTTGAGCAGCTGAAGCAGCGCATCATGAGCTTTAGAGCATCTACTGCTTCAGAGGCATTAACTGCTGGAGTTGAAAAAAATTGAACTTTTGCTGCTCGATGCGCCACATCAAGGTGGCAGGGAGACAGACACAGCACTGCTGATGCAGATCGCTATAATCACTCTGCTGAAACAGCTTATTAATACCTAAATTAATTTAAAAGGTTGAAACCTGCTGGCAACATATGTTTCCTTATGTTATTCTGTTGCCTGCAGTTTGGATTACGTGAAAAACGTACGGGGGTCTGAGCGGCTCCAACAGCGAAATAATATTTGAACAGAGGATCGTAATCTGGATGAACTGACTGCACAGATTAAGTTTTCAGGTTGACTATTTCATCTAAAAACATATTCAAATTACTTTGTACCCACTGCTTACAGCAAATATAGCTGCTGTTGTTACAGGCAAAGAAAGGATAGAGTAGCTCCGCCCAATAAGCATCAGACCCACAGAGCAACAAAGCTGCTTCAGCCGTGCGTCAGAACTTAACTTATACAAGCATCAAAGATGAAGCAGCACAGGTGTTTTTGCTGCCTCTGCTGCTTGTGGTCTGAACGTAGCATAAGAGATGCCGTTAGTTTGGTAATTGGCCGTCTGCTGCCTTGGAGAAGGTCTCTGGAAGACTTGAGGTCTTAACGATTCTAGATGTTCTTCTGGAATCGCTTCCAGACATTTGCAAACACAGAAGAGGACATGAGCGTCATAAAGGGCACAGATAGGATCATACCAGGATACAAGCCAATAACGGGAATGAATACTAGCTACACTAGATATTGTTAGGGTTCTCATAAAGGGCATGTTTTAGATGCCTTCAAAACTAAAGATCCTGTAGTCTCTTTCTGTTGGATCTTAATGGTTTACTTTAGATGCTTTTCATTGATTTATGTTTCATCCCACCAGGTAAAAGCAGAAAATAGTTCTCTGATGGCGACCTGAGTCTTTCCTGCTGTAAATGTCCATCAGGGAACAGTTCTTCATGCCCAGGAAATGAAAGGAAAGTTGTAGGTGGGAAAGGTGACGGAAACATGACCGTGTGTTTAACCTCGCTGTAACGCGACCTTTGGTTAACCACAGCGTTGGAGCCGATCCATCACTCTGTGCTCGTTTTCTCTCTGCAGACGCATCGTCTCACAGAAGGAAGATCTGGGAACGTGATATCCAGAGTGAGACTTTATTTGGACATGTAGTGTTCAAACAAAGAAGCTGTTTCTCAGACTGATGATGCAAACTTTAATGGACACTTCCTAAAAGACCGTGGAGCGCTGACAGAGGAGTCTGGCTCTGGTTAGATCTTTGAAACCGGACCAGGACTTCAAACGTTCCCCCCACTGTTCCTCGAGTGCCAAATATGTTCAATTCTTCCACTAAGTTTCGTTCTTCGACCTCTTCTGTGTGGTTTTGTTTCCTTATTAAAGTTCAGTTTGAGTTAAACTGCTGGATGCTGGATCGGACTTCTTTCTGTGGAGCAAACCATCTGTCGGGTCAGGATTAACCCAGAGGATAGACTGATGGGAACCTTAACAGGACTTTTAATCTCACATATTTTGGCTGCTCTGCTCGGTCTTCCAGTCCTAAAATGAGTCAGAAATCTCATTAAGGCTTTATAATCCATCATTTTGAGCTTTCTTAAAAATCCTGATCCGGTCGAGGCAGACAGGTGTTCCCAAAGTTACGTAAGGATTTCACCCAACAACCAGCCGAGCAGCCGTGCATCCTGTTGGTATTCCGGACGCCTAGAGGTCTGTCTCCCCTGTCCTCCCCCTGTTTGACCCATATCCCTGGTCTCTGAGCAGACAGCTGCAGGAACACTTGTTTGTGTCCGGTGGGCTAACTGGGTCAGACTGTAACTGTATCAATGAGTTTGTAGGAGGCCGTTACACGCCGCCACTCATACTCACACACATGCTCAGGGTAATATGAAGAGAGCGAATTCTTGTTCCGCAGCCAAACATTACATTTGTGCTCAGAGTTTTCACACAAAGGGAAAGCGGGCGCTCCATGAAGGTCGTCCTTTCCTCCACTGAACCTTGTCTTGCTGTTGTTTTTTGGTAATTGTTGCTTCTTTCCTGATTTTCTGCAGGTTTCTGCTTCCTTTGATATCCTCGCACCATGCCTGAAGGGTCGCGGCGCGGCAGCCAGAGATCGCCCAGTAACTCAGGTAAACTAGACACTGGGAGCTCACCACTCAGACAGCTATAGTTGTTCACACAGGCGGGAGCTTTGCAAAGCAACAATTGGTTTAAGAGTCAAACAGCCCACAGTATGATGCTACCACTGCCATGCTTAGCTGTTCTTGGCTCTGGAAGCTTCACCTTGCCTCCCCTGTCATCCCTCTTGTTGTTTACCCATCAAACATTCCTTGTTTTAAAGGTTGTAGGTTAGATTCCCATCCCATAGTACTGAGGTACAAAAACTCACAGTTTAGGGGGATTTGAGATTCATCCATCAAATAAATTAGACATATTTTATCCTAAATATCCTAAATAAGTAAATATTTGAAACAAATATTTTTTATGTCATTGGTTATTCTTAACTGCATATTGTTTCTTTATGGCCATGTGCTAAAACATAATGATTTTTTCTTTTATTACTTCACCCAACAAACCAAATTCGTTCTTGATAAAAGCCTGTCTTAAAGGAATAGTACACCCAAAACATGATTAGCCTTCATTTTCTACTCACCCCAATGCTGAACAACACTCTGGAATACTTTTTTGATATCTCAAATGCATCTGGAGATCTGGGAGGCTTTTTGCTGTCTGCTGACATTCAAATAATGGAGGTCCATAGCGCCCGAGGCAGAAAGGTCCATAAAAGTCCACAAAAACGTGTCAATATTCCTCCATACTGCTCGTCCAATGTATTCCAAGTGTCCTGAGTGGGTAGCATCCAGAATTTACTCGAAACAAAGTCATTTAGAATGTTTTAGAGCATAAACAGTAGTGTATAGGATTTCCTAAAAGCGCGCGCATGCGAGTTCACGAGTCTACGGAAACCGCGGCAGACCAAACCAGACGAAAGTGCGCATTCAGCTCGGCAAAGAACTCATGCTCTTCCTCAACAATGAAGTCCTCAGACATTCTTCTTTCGTTGTTTCTTTCTTTGCACAGGTAAACAGCACATTTTTTCTGCTACGCTTGCATTATCGACAGAGCAGACGCTGAATGCGCACTTTCATCTGGTTTGGTCTGCCGGTTTCCGTAGCGTCGTGAACGCGCAGGTGCGCGCTTTCAGGAAATCCTATACACTACTGTTTATGCTCTAAAAACATTCTAAATGACTTTGTTTCGAGTAAATTCTGGACGCTACCCACTCAGGACACTTGGAATACATTGGACGAGCAGTATGGAGGAATATTGACACGTTTTTTGTGGACTTTTATGGACCTTTCTGCTTCGGGCACCATAGACCTCCATTATTTGAATGTCAGCAGACAGCAAGAAGCCTCCCAGATCTCCAGATGCATTTGAGATATCAAAAAAGTACTCCAGAGTGTTGTTCAGCATGGGGGTGAGTAGAAAATGAAGGCTAATCATGTTTTGGGTGTACTATTCCTTTAATAATTTAAGTTTGTAATGTGATCTTGAATTTAATTTAATGATGTCTTTACCAAGGAAATAGAAAAAAATGAATGTACTTTTTAAAGGCACAATTAATTCTAATATCTGATTAAAAAAAAGTAAGTTAAAGTTTTTAATAGAGATAGTTAAATCTGTTTCAGTATGCTTAACATCTTGTAGTTTTTATGGAAATTCAGATAGTTTAGGTTAATTTGAGACAGCTTTTAGTAACATGAAGTGCAGGCATTGGTCGTGGTCTCGGGTTTGGTGGTTTTGACTTCAACACTGTTTCCATGTTCTTGTTTCAACATTTTAAAAGTTTGCTTAGAAATTGCAAGAGCTCAGGATGGAAAAAAAAGAGCTAGAGCCGCCATTGCACCCCTTTATTCCTAACTGGGCCCCAAAGGCTGTTTCTCTTTTTTGCTATAGTCACTTCTGGGGGCGGGGCTTCCTCTACAGTGAGGAGTAACGGCACATTTCTATTGGCCGACTGGATGTTAGCATCAATAATTTTATTGATCAGTTTTATTTGATCATACAATCTGCAAACAGAAAGAATGCTATTCGTAAAACTTACTCATAAAAAACAAAAAAAATCTGGAAAAAATATTTAAATTTGGGTAAAATTTTATTTAAAAAAAAAGTGTAAAACAAAAGAAAAAAGAAAAAGAAAAATTTGAAAAAAAATGGAAAAACTAAATCTTATTAAACAGCAAAGTTAATTCCAAAACCTTTTTTATTATTTCAACAAATTTTTCAAAGTTGCAATTCTGTAATGCATTTCTTTCAAATTTCAAGCTACAAAACCTGTTTTTTGCTTGCGGAAATGAAGAAAAAAAAAAGTCATAAAAAAAACAAAGTAAATCTCATAGATTTCACATGATTCTCTTCTTCCATGTCTTACATGTTCTTTTCAAATTTTGACCACATGTGAAACTTGTGATTGGATATTTCTCAAATGTGCAAAACATGATAATATTTTCTTTTCCACGTCAATGTCTTCAGAATGTGATCTATATAATACTCATTTTAGATTTGTTAAAAAGTATTTGTGTGTATGGTTTCTTGCATGTTGTTATACATGTGAATTTGAAAAGTTTCATGTGAAAAGCACAAAAATGTAAAGTAAAAATGTTAAGCAAATGTGTGCCTTTGTAATGTAGAATAAAAGTACATGTAATTCACATTTTCATCACATGTCGTTCCAATTTAATGCAAATTTGATTCTGATTTAAAGCACATTCGAAGCAAACATGTGTATCACATGTGAAATACTGTTGTACTTCATGTTAAACAGACATGTTGTAGACGAGTTTTGCATGTGATTTTCTCGTGTGAAGATAATTGGATTTTTCTGTAAAGATTCTGTAAACCTAAACTGAAGTAAAAAGGTCAGTAAAGTAAAGTCTTGGCATGACACACTGTGGAAGAGGTTCTTGTTGGAAGGGAAATCTCTCACCATAAAATCTGAGAGGACATTAGAGGAACTCCAAATGTTATAAATATTAGTTGGAAGGATTGAGCTGATTTTGGATTCGTACTTCAGATAGAGGGATCTCTGGGCTGCCCATCCTGGATCTTTATAACCTAAATTCTATGAAACATGGAGAACAGATGGATAAGAAATTCAGGGTCCCATCAGAGAACCTGGAAGTTTTTGTCCTTCTGTTATCAGAACGACATGTTTAAAGCAAGCATCATTTTTTCCCTGAAGCTGCTGCCTGTCTGATGGATTTATTTCAATCTGGACTCAGTTTTCTCTGAGAGCTGTGACTTCCTGTCTGCAATGCAGAGCAGAGAGGCCCTGCAGGAGTGACACACACACAGGGACCCAGTAATGAGGTGTAATTACACACAGCACCATGCTGTTATATTGACTTGCATAGTTAGCATTCACACACACACACACCTTAAAAGCATCTACATTTCTGACCTTACACTGCAATTAACATGAGGGCCAAATGACATGCACACAAGCACAACCCTGACTCTGTGCTCAGAGAAAGTCACAGATGTAAAAGTGAGTGTATGTATGTGCAGGAAGCTGCATGGTTTGTGGCGATAAAGTGTAGCTTCGAACAATGTTACTGCTTCGACAAACACTCTGACCAAGTCGCCATAAAAGGCCCCAGCTGATCTTTTGATTATAACCGTAGAAAAGACGGGGGCAGAAAATATAGAGAGAACGCCCAAGATAAGAGCGAGCTGCACCGAGCTGCCCGGGGCGGGAAGAGAAAGGGAGGTTTGCCAGAGGAATGGGTGAAAGCTAAAGGAATGGTTCCTTTCTGAGTCCTGAATGGCCTCTTAGTCCTCTGAAAAGGAGGACCCCTGCCACGGGGGAACAAGGATGTGTTTTTACTTTTCAAAATCTCGTGAAGAGACGCAATCTACATCAGAATGGGAGTTGAGGTTCTGAAAAATTATACAAACCTCCCCTGCAGTACCTGCACTGACCACTGCATTTCATTTCAGTTTATTTATATAGCGACAATTCACAACACGTCATCTCACGGTGTATTCTCATTATGAGTTCGTATGAAATCGTACGAAAAGTTATGCACCGTAATTTCGTACATTTTGGATGTTTTTTTCGTCGTATGCGCATGCGCATCTTACGCACCATTCAAGAACATAGAATTAAAAATACAATTAGCCCTAACCCTGACCCTAACCCTAAGATATAAAACAGCAAGCAACGTAGTTAGAGACATGAAGAAGTGATTATTGCACTGTTTTTCCCATTTTTACGTCCGTCCGCGGATCTGCTTTTTTTGTCTGTCTGCCTGTGCATGTGCACTGATCTGGTTTTTTGAGGAAAAACGTCCAAAACGTACAAAATAGTGTGCATTTTTTTGCACTTTTCGTACGATTTCATATGAACTGATAATGAGAATATGTTGCATCCCAAGGCACTTTACAGTTCAAACACTGTAAAGTTTTCTATCTATCAAAGTTTTCTAAGGAAAACCAGTCGATTGCATCGACTCCTTGACTCGAATGCAATCCCTCACACTAAGCATGCTTGTAGCGACAGTGGAGAGGAAAAACTCCGTTTTAACAGGAAGAAACCTCCAGCAGAACCAGGCTCAGTGTGAGCAGCCATCTGCTGAGGCCGACTGGGGTTCAAGGAGACAGAAGCAGAGATAGAAAAGGCAGCTGTAAAAGGCGGCCCCGGTCCACAGGACCACTTATTACTACATCGACAGACAATAGATTAGATGAGATGAGCTTTATTGATCTCACAGCGGAGAAATTCACTCGTCACATATTGGCATAGAAGTTACAGAAGGTGCAAACAAGGAGGAAAAAGGTGCATTAAGAATAAGCAATATATATACAGTATATCCAGGTATATACAGTATATCAAGATAAATAGGATTAAGGTACACATACTTAGATAATGGTGCGTTCAGACCGGACGAGGTGTCTTTGGTGTTTTCTGTGAGCAGATAGTTCACCGCTCTGCATTTCAGATGCACAGTGTTTACACCCCAGACTGAGTCATTAAATAGGAGGAGCTTCAGCTGCGTGAAGCTGATGCCGCTTTGACGTGATAAATAGACTGAATGGGTTTTACATAATTGATGCTGGTTTGTCT